CATGGCTCCCCGATCCCACCGCCGGGCCGCGTCGGCATGCGTGGGATGCTCACGCGAGCCCGGGCGTCCACCCTGTGGGCATCCCGGTGTTAGGTGGGCAGTATCGGGCGGGGGGGGGGAGGGGCAGGGAGACAGAACCAGGAAGTGATGGGGCCTTAGTCCTAACTGGCGTCTGACTGTGGCCGGTAGGAGACCCAGAGGAGCCAGAGAGCTCTGCCTGGCCTTGATAAGTTTGCTGGGATGCTGCTTCTGCCATATCTTGTTCATTCCTCAGAACAACCCGTGGAAGACAGACACCGTTATTATCTCTTTTCCTAAAGATGGGGAAACTGAGGCTCAGAGAAGCGAGGAACCTGGCCAACTTCTTTCAACCTAGTTTCCAGCCTTGGTCAACGGATCAGAGAGACTGCACTCATGGCCACAACTGACGGTTACAGATGAAGAAACCGAGGAATAACAGAAGTTTTAGTAGGTCACTCACCTTGTGTTCCTGCGGCCCTCCGTGTAAGAAAAATGCCTAGGCAGCCAGGGTTCCAGGCACTCTGGTGACTGTAAGCTTAGCTTACTGCCTTGTGCTGTGCCTGTGTTAGGGCATGCAGGCTCACAGCCAAAGATTCGCTGTATTTGTGCAAAGTCAGAGGCAAACAAGACACTTGAAGGTACCCAGCTCCTTACAAGAGCATTACAACAACTGCTAAGTGACTTTCGAAGTCTGGCCTTCTATGTCTTGGTAGCTAAACCCACGAGGGATCTTCCAAAGTCTACAATAAATGGGCTGTTCAGGGTCACCTCCTCACGTTATCTCAGATTAAAAGGCCTAATACTGAGAAAGATTACAGGATAAGTCATTCTCGGAACATTCACACCAGATCAGCTTGCTTTAATTAATCACTCTCTAATTCCCATCCCTCTGTCGAGCCTACCACACTAGAATAATGGAAACTATTCAGAAGTAGAAAAGAGTCCAAAGTGACTCTCGGACACCCAAGTTACACCACATGGAAGTGCCTCCCCATCTGAGGTCAAACAAGATTTATAATTTGGAGTATCAACCCTTCCAGCTCAGTTGCTACTTTAATTCCATCCCCCATGCTATTGTTGCGTGTCAGCCCTCAGAAGCAGGGCATGGATAGCTATGAAAATTATTTGGTATAGAGGCCGCCCTTTCCCTGCACCTGTATATAACAAATATCCTATCAACAAACAGAGCTAAGGATAGGGCTCAGTGGTAAAATACATGCCTAGCACACAAAAAGCCCTAGGTTAAACCCAAAGTTCTACAAATAATAACAAACAAACAGCATGAACTATCCCATTTGAACTAGATATGGAGGATCGAGCCTCCAGTCTCCACTTGGAAAGCTGAGGCAGGGGTTGCAAGTCTGAAGCCTCTCTGGGCTATAAAAGAAAACAACCAGACAGAAACACAAGCTCTACTGTTGCCTAGGATCTTTCCGAACTATAACCTGACAACATCATCAAGAGCTAACATAGTTTGAGTGTTCGCAGTGTGTCAGAACCTTTAATATGACATCACTCAATTAAAACTTCTTATTATGGGCTGGAGAGATGGCTCAGTGGTTAAGAGCACTGGGTATTCTTCCAGAGGCCTGGGGTTCAATTCCCAGCACCCACATGGCAGCTCACAATTGTAACTCCAGTTCCAGGGTATCTGATATCTTCACACCAATGCACATAAAACAAAATTAAATAAATTATTCTTAAAAAACCTTCTGATTATTATTACACTATTACTCCTCTTTTACACCTATTCAAACAGGCTCAGAGCAGGTAACTGACTTGCCTATGACAAGGACAAAATGGGACCTGAACCCACTTCTGCTATGTATTACATTTTACCATAAAGAATGGTACTGCTTCTCTTGAATTCAAATGCCAACATAAAAATCCATCTACTGAACATTTACTGAATACCCACTTTGTTCCAGCCCATGTACACTGTGAACATAAACACAGCTGGAGGGTCATGAGGTCGGGGTGGGGGCTGTGTGAAAGGGGCCTTGTAGACCATAGTGACTATTGTGGAGTTACTCCCAGGAGCAACGGGAGAATAGGGGAAGTAAAAGTCACGTGGTAAAAAAAATCTGTATTCTTGTCAGTGTGGTGGCGAACGCCTTTAATCCCAAACTCGGGATGAGGGGGGCAGAGGCAGGGGGAATCTCTGTGAGTTTGAGGCTAGCCTAGTCTACAAAGTGAGTTACAGGACAGCCAAAGGTACACAGGGAAACCCAGCCTTGGAAAAAAAAAAAGTAACGTGTATTGTTTAGCTGCTGAGAGGTGAGGGTGAGACTTGTGTGGAGATCATGAAGGTGGGAGAGAGGAGAACAATGTGAAAAGGGCAGAAGAGATGGAGAGAAGTAGAGGAGCTGACTTTCCTCAAAATAGAGCACATCGTGGCTCCCTCCCGTAGTCCCTACACCAAACCAAACTGAAACAGTATATCTGCGCTGGAACAACAAATAGACTAACAACCCAAACCAAGACACTCTTCAAAGTCAGAGAGAAGCTACCGGGCATGTGAGCAGTTTCTTCAAATGAGACAGCAGGCCTCTCAAGGTGACAAGAACATCTTTCTATTCTTTCCTCTGCCTCCTCTTTTGCGTGTGTGTGTGGGGGGGAGTCTCACACTGTGGCCTAGGCTGGCCTCCAATGCTCAGCAATTCTCCAGCTTCAGCGTCCAAACTTCTGGGGCTGTAGGTGTGAATCACCACACCGGTCAAGGGTGGACTTGCTAGGGAACAAGGATGAAGAGCGGTGGAACGGTGCTGACTTAGCATGCACCAGGCCCTGTGTTTCATCTCCAGTATCACAAAAACAACCTCCCGAAGTGACTTTCAGGAGGAAAGTCTGGTCTTTGCATTAGACGTACCCTAAAGGAGGTGGGATCTATAACTCTTAACGTCTAATCCAATAATTTATCGGAGTAATGCCGATTCACCAGGCCAAGCAGTGCCCCGACTAACACTCAGATACTTGAGAAGCTGAGGCAGGAGGATTGCCTGAATTCTAGGCCAGTCTGAGGCCAGCCAGACTCAGATAGTGAGACACTGTCTAAAATCAAAACCAAAAATAGACTTGGACTAGGTACGGTAGGTACACATTCTTATTTCAGCACTCCAAAGGCAGAGGCAGCCAGATCTCTGTGAGTTTGAGGCCAGCCTGGTTTGCACAGTGAGTTCCAGGCCAGCCTGGGCTATACAGCAAGACGCTGTCTCAAAAAAGATGAATAAATAAAAAAGGAGTTGGGAGAAGATAAGACAGTGGAAGAGTGCTCGCATAGCAAGTATGAGGCCCTAGGTTCCAATCAATAACACACACACACACACAGACACACACACACACACACGAGTAATTAAGTCAACGAGCACATAGCTACTGATGAAGGTCATAAACCTTACTTGGCAGAAGTTGGACAACTTTGCCCCTTAGCTTTGGCTAAGAAAGGGAGGTAACAGCAGAACAAAGACACAGCATGGCAAAAGTCGGTGACTTTATACTTCACCTCTGACCACTGAAGAACTAGATGAAATAATTATAAAGATTAACTGAGAAAATAAAAGGTTTGGATTTCAATAATAATTATTCCCATATGTCTTTTTCTTCTGTTTTTTCAAGACAGGGTTTCTCACTGGGCGATGGTGGTGCTTGCCTTTAATCCTAGCACTTGGGAGGCAGAAACAGGTGGATCTCTAGTAGGTCAGCCTGACCTACAAGATCTAGTTCCAGGACAGGCTTCAAAGCTACTGAGAAACCCTGTCTCGAAAAAAAAAAAATTTCTCTGTGGTAACTTTATTCCCATATTTCACAATACTTTTCTTTCTATAATTTAATTAAACCGTGGTTTCTATTGTTGTCGGTTTAGTTTTTTGAGACGAGGGTTTTTTTTTTTTCTTTTCGTAGCCCTAGAAGTCTTGGAACTTGCTTTATTGACCAGGCTGGCCTCAAACTCAGAGATCCACTTGCCTCTGCCTCTGAAGTGCTGGAATTAAAGGCTTTTGACACCCTATACACAGCTCAATCGAATCAAGTTTTACTGGCACTCACACACTACTTTTTTTTTACTGTGTACTGTGCCCTTGGAGATCAAAATGGTTTTCTGTGATAGTGTAGAAAGATGGCTCACTGGTTAAGAGCACTGGCTGCCCTTCCAGAGGACTCAGGTATGATGCCCAGCACCCACATGTCTGTTCACAACCTTCTGTAGCTCCAGTTTCAAGGGGATATGACACCCTATCCTGGCCTCTGTGTTCACTAGGCACACATGGTGCACAGACACACATGCAGACAAAACACCCATACATATGAAAGAAAAATAATAGTCTTAAAAGTTTAAAAAAAGTTTCGTGGTAATAGCAAAAGTGAAGTAGGGAATCATAAGCTAAGCTAGTCAGACAATTTAAATATATTTTTAGATGCTTATTTTTTCCCCAAGAATAATGTAGTGTGAAACCGGACTTGGACGAGCTGGAGAAGTGGTCCAGCAGTTAAGAGCACTGTTCTTCCTGAGTTCGATTCCCAGCACCCACATGGCAGTTCACAACTGTCTCCAGGTTCCAGGGGATCTGACACCCTCACACCAATGTACATGGAATAAAATAAATTTTAAAAAAAAAAGCAACTGGGCATGGTGGTGTATACCTGTAATTCCAGAACTTGAGGGACAAAGCAAGAGGATCTCTGCAAGGTGGATGGCAACTTGGTCTATATACCAAGTTCCATTTCAGTCGGGGTTACATAGTGTGGCTCTGTCTCAAAGTAAGAAACACGAAAAAGTGCTAGGGAGGAAGGGGTAAGGATGAGACTAGTGTTCATTTTCTCTGCTAACTGGGCTATGAAACACTTTAACGTGGTTCACTATGCCTCTTTTCTGGTTAGGAAGTCTTGTCCCCAAAGACCATAGAAGAATGCTGGGAGAATAAATGATGCAATAAGGTTCAGAGCATGCAAAGGGACCAATAAATATTCCCTTAGTGAGTGGAGACTTAATCTATGATTATTGCTATACAGAGCACATTGCATTAAGGGAAATTCCCACTAACACGTTAGGTCATGACATTTCAATAAAAACGCAATACTCCAACTTAGAAAACAACAACAACAAAAAAACACTACAGTAACGCTCAAGTTTTTGGTTCTTTCGTGTGTGACAGAGCGGCTAGAAATGACCAGCCGCTTTCGTCCTGCTAGCGAATTATATTCTAAAAGATGGACTTGCCTCGCGCGGCCTCACGAGTCCACCTACGCCATCCCATGTGGGCTGAGGTACTACCCAGCTTAGGGGTAAAGAGCTGCTCCGCCAAACACTAGGGGAACCCGATTCACCCCGAAACGGACCTCTGGGACCCAACCTGACCCCGTGGTGCAGAGCTGACTCAGGGGAACGCACTGCGTGAGATACCAGTCAGCAATCTGCGCCCTGCTTCTGGGTCACCTCCGCCGTCAGCCAGGCTCGAGACATCAATAACAACCGTTCCCTAGAGGGGCGCTGCTCTCAAGTTTCCAAAGAGCTTTGACATAGGGATACATCAGCTCTGGGGAGACCGGCTGAACCACAGGCGCCCACTCGTCCGGCAGGGACAGCGCAGTCCGACTGTGGGAACGGTCTCCGGGAGCACGCAGGGTCCCGTGTCCTTCGGGGTCCCCACGCTCCACCTTAGGTGGATGGCTGCGAGCGGCCGCTCCTGCGCCGAGCGCTCCCTGCAGTGCGGGTTGCCGCCAGGCAGACCCCTTGCGCAGGCCACCCTAGCAAATACCTCTGGCCATGGCCCGACTCTGTCACCACCTGGAATCTCCCGGGAAACCCAGCTTTCGAAAAAAGTTGCAACAACCGTAGCCAACTGCTCTGCCAGTGCGCGGCCGCGGGTGTTGATTGGTGAGGCCTCCCGCCCTTTCGCGGGCTGGTCGCTGTGATTGGGGTACTCGAGGCTAAGGCCCGCCCTTCTCCCCGCCTCTCCGCAGGCACGGCCTTCGGGAAGGTGGGAGTGAGGGCTTTAAATTTGATCACCTCGTTGCACGGATTGGATGAGCTAGAAAGACTCATCGGCTGTTATTGGAAGGGAGGGGCCTTAAGCTCCTCCTTCTTCTGATTGAAGCTCCGCCTCGGGCTTTTCAATCTCCAGTTGGAGAACCAGGCTTAGGGGTGGACCTGAACAGGAACTTCCGGTTTGCGGTAGACTTGGCCGGAAACCAGACCTTTGACCTGTCGACCTCTCTATGCTTTTGGGCTGCTCAAAGCGTTCCGAAGTTTGTCGTCTCCACCGCCTTGACGTCCACTTTCAGTTTGGCTCGTTCATTCGAATTCCTACATCGCAAAGGCTTGCAGCAAACAGTATGTTCTTCCAATATGTAAACTCTGGGTACAACTCCTAAAACTGGGTCAGTGGGTAAACTCAGAACCCAAAATTACAGCCCAGATCACCGGCCTATTTTATAGATGGGATCATAGACTATCCAGGGAATTTTTGGTTTTGTTTTGTTTTTTGAGACAGGGTTTTCTGTGCAGCCTTGGCTGCCCTGGAATTCGTTCTGTAGACCAGGCTGGCCTCGAACTCTCAGAAATCCACCTGCGTCTGCCTCCCGAGTGCTGGG